TTAATATAATCACGAGAGGTGGACACAGACCAAAACTATGTGGATGCATTTGCTGCAAGAAGTATTTGATATATGGACTTTTAAAGATGTTTAGGTTTATTTGGGATACTAAAATGTAAATAAATAAATAAAAAATGACCCTAAAGTTAGTAAAAGTATGCGGACGTACCTCTTAGATATTAGATATTATATTATTACTTAAATTAGAAAATACAATCAAATTCAATTAGATACAGTTTTTTTGTTTACAGTAAAGACTAAGTAAATAAGAACAATACGAAAATGTAGAACAAAATATGCAATTTAGATTGGATAACAACATCAAGTTTACTTCTTAATTGACTAAAACTTTAAATTTAATTTAAGATTAATCATTAATTTCAAATGTATAAGATACAAATTTAATTTATGCAAAATTACAAATATTGTTGAATTAATTAATTTGACATTTATCGTGTCATTTATTTGGGTTCTTTAAAGTAAACTTAATTTGTTCATTCTGTTGGCAGAATAATGAGACGATCCTTAAGTTTTTTGGAAATTAATTTAATGTGAGAAAGGATTCCGGAATCATTTAGTATTCAGGATCAGTATTGTAATTACCTTAAAAGTCGGTGGGTTCCATGCATAGAATGCATTCGCATTCATGTCGAACTATGCATTAAATTTGGCACACAATATTGATCTAGTTTTGAATCGATCGTTGACCATTTTTTAAGTCTGTACGTGAACTATTTTTTAAAATTATAAAATTAAAGTTACATCTGATAGAAGTTTGGAAGATTTTTTGAGGATTTTCTAAGGGATATTCAGCGACTTTTCTTGGTAACACTCTTCCCGCACATGGGAAGACCTAATTTCCGACCTAAGCACCCTATCACTGACATTCGAATTAACAGAGTGCACGGAGCTTTGGGCCTTGGCAGCGGCAATTTCCCTCTCTCTCGGGAAGCACGTCGATAGCGATTTTTGGTACCGGCTTTTGCTAGTTTCCCTCCAGGACCAATTCTATTTTGCTTTGGGTGGCGCCTCAGCCATGTCCAGGGTTTGGTTTTATCAAAGGGTTCGTGCACCAGAACTGTTATTGGTGCTCCGTAGTAGTAAACGAATTTTCCCGGTTATCTCTTTTTACGATTTTCGTGGTGTTCATGGAACTTTGTGGCACCTTGTTGATGGGTAGCCTCTTTTGTCTTTGGTTTCTGCCCATCACATTTGTCAGGATCCTCTTCTAAATAGTTGCTTGAGAGCCATGGCGTTTTGCGTTCGTCGTACATTGGATTCCTTTGTTGTCCAGACGATTTGCTTTTCGGGGCTCAGGTGCAAAGTGCAGGTATCGTTTGCACCGTATCCTGAGGTGCGTTGCGTTGGTCCGTATCCTTTTGAGAAAGGGATCTCACACCGACGTATTCAGATTTCCGTTTGTTACTAGAATTACTCAATTCTGTCCTATAATTTAATACATTTTTACTCTTGCCCTGATTAGCATTTGTTGTAAATTTTCCCTCTTTCGAGCTGCTATAAGTAGTGTCTTTTCCATTGGCTGTACGTTTACCCTCTTTCGAGTCGGATTTCCCAAACTTCTGCTGGCCAGTGGCATTTCCATTTCCATCTATCTGATTGCCCTTATATTTGCCCTTTATTTTCTTCGATGATCCATCTTTATCCCCGAGTAATGGGTTCGTAATTGCCTACTCATCCGTCAAGCGTCGCTGCAGGAACTTGTTTTTGTTTTTGTTTTTTTAATATCTTCCTTCCATTTCGTCTCCAAATCGAGACCAGTCACTGCATCTATCAACGTGTCCAAATTTTTCGAAAGACGAATCTTTTTTTTTTACATTGTCAATCAGCGATGAAAGCTCTTTGCCGCGAGTGGAAGAGCCGGGTTGTAGCTTCTTCCTAAAGTCAGTACCCTCCTTATCGGTTTGTATTACTTTGCCATCATTTGTCCTTAGTCCCTTGATCAAATTTCCGTCGAAAGTACCATTTACAGTGTCCGATAGTCTTCTGCCAGCTCCAAAGAGTCCTCCATCGATAACTCCTTTGCCCAGAAGAGTGCCTTTTTGTTTCAAGTGATCTTCGCTTTTGACTTTGGTACCTCTCAGTGGGGTTTTTAGCTTTCCAGCACTCGCACGTGTTATAGTTCGACAGCGGCACATGACTCGCATTCCATGGATTCCCCAACGGATTTAGGACCTTGCCAAAGTTTTGCAACGTCAGCGAGTACAGAAAATCAAAGACGACATCTACTGGACGTTCCAGCATCTCTGACAAAAGCATAGATAATATTTTGATTGTACAGAAACCAACGCTCCTTCTCCTTGTGGGAATTGGCACTCATTTTTTCCAGTTTTTCATCACTTTCCGTATCCCTTTTCCTTGCATACTCAATCGACGCTTGGTTGTTTGTTGGAGGCACTTGCAACACGCTAACACGACGACGGCAGGTCGCGTGTGCGGCAGCGTCCGTGGTCATGTAACGTTTGAGGTAAGTGCCCAACACGAACATTTCGCGGGAGCTCAAAAACTTATTCGAGGTAACCATTTTGTAATTCTGTCAGTAAAAATAATCGAAAAGGAATTTAGTCGAAGCTGTCATCTGAAAATATTAAAAGATAGAGACAAAAATATCTTCTTCTTGTTTCTTGAATTCTACCTCGATTCTTTCTGGCACTGAAATTGCAAAGGCTGATTCCAAATATCACTTCTAGAAGGCATTTTAGGGTTTTAAAATATTTTGTTCTGTTCTTCTGACATTTGCTGAAAAATTTTCCATTATTTTAGTTTTGACAAAACAAAATTTAATTCAAATGTCCGAGGCGAAGAGGTTGTACCTTCATGATGTCTTTAATCCATAAACCCCCATTAAAATGCTGACACTGCATTAATGATTTACATTTGTAAATACATACATACATATGCACATACATATGTAAGTTATCAAATGACAAGAAAGAATTGAAATGAAAGAATTAGGAGCTAAATGAAAACAACAAAAATCTGAGAGAAATAAAACAAAGCAAAAAACAACAATCAAAACACATATAAACACAAAAGCTACGTAAAATAAAACAAAACAAAAAATATAAAACAAACTACTTCGATTGGGTGCACAAGTGAGACAGCGCTATTCCACACTAGCGCGAAAGAGAGAGAGAGAGAGAGTGAGAGAGCTGAGCAAAAAGCAGAGAGCAACACCGACGCTGTTTAAGGGGAAATAACGGGGCAATATGCGGAACATGTGAAACGAAACGGCTGTCTCTGCAAAAGGGGAAATTTTACATCGAGAGAGAGCTTGCTCTCTTGCTCTCTGGCGCCTTAACACTAACACAGCCCCACACACACTCATAAACGAATGCAGGCATAGAGCATGGAGCGCACGCGATGAGTGCAACTTTTGCCGGCAAATTAGTGGCAGAGACGCCAACGTCGCAGTCAGCACACGACCTCCAACCTACACCTCCCACTCTATCAGTCCCCTCTCAGCTTAGCTGCCCCTCGAGCACATAACGAGTCTAGGAATAAAAGTCAAGATATTCGTGGGGATATTCATATGGAAGTGGGCGAAGAAATTACTTGATTCAATTATTCAAAGTAAAATGTGAAATTTTTGCAAATAAAATGTGGAATTTTAAATATCTTAATAAACTGCAAAATAAATGAAAATTGCTCATTGGATTTGTAATATTTACACAAAGCCATTGACATACTTAGCTCGGTTACATCGGTTTTCCGATGCCGATTAAAGATTACACTTTTGAGAAGAGTAATTTCGTTCCTTCTTTATGAAACTTTGAATCTGTTTAATTCCTGAGGAAATACCACCAACTATCAATATAGGTATGATTTATGTTATCTATACGCTGCACTCCACACCACACCACACTCTTTACCACTCAAACAAATAAACCAAGAAAGCGTTGCAACAAAAACATCAAACGGCGGTACGGTGCATACATACATACAAATTATGTACCATGTACATATGTACACACGAGGTTTTGCTTTATTTACGCATAATTTCATACAATTTATGAAGGTATTTCGGATTGTACATAAATTTCAGGGCTTCCAGAACCCCCCTAACAAAAGGAAAATAAAATATACATATACCAATTGAAGTTCAAAGGCCCACAAGTCAATAAAATATTAAAAATTAGCAATGATATAAATACAAGTAATACTTGACTTGAAGGCGCCGGCCAATGTGGTGCCTGTTGCTGCCGTTGCCGCTGCCACCCACAACGTGCCACAAAGCAGGCCGACACGGAAGTGTCTTTCAGTTGCACGATTGTGGGTGCCCATAAAGACAATCGAAGATTAAAGGCGGCTGCTTCCGTGGAGAGACTTCAAACGTAGACGAACCTGTCTGTACTATTTTTTTGTTGGTTCTCATCATAATTTTAACAATTGACTGAGTTTCTAAATTGTTTATTTGTTTGTTGTTGTGGCAGTGGCGGCTGCCCTTTGAACCCCCTCCCCACCACACACTCCACTCTTTTGTGGCTCTATTGAGCTCAGGTGTGAACTGATAGATTGTGGATTTCCCTGACTTCCCGAAAACGGGATATCCATTGGGTGTTAATCTTCCGCGAATTATAGAAATATTTCCAGATCAAAGATTCGTATCTCATTTCGTGACCTGATAAAAACCAATGATCTGTGATCCATCTATTGGGCAATGAGAAAAAAATAATGCTGGAGTTTACATTCATCGTTTATATGTTCTTTGTCAGGTTGTTTTCTGGTGTGAATTTATCAAAGTAAAGGCCAAAAATCATAAGTAATAATTATTTTACATGATGTGGTAACATCTTTGGGGTTGTGAAAATTCCAAAGGAAATCTCGGTAAATGGGTGAGAAATTTTACCTAAATCTTGGAAATCTTCTGCTAAATTTAGCTTCAAACAAGTTTTTCATTTATAAAGAATTTTTTTAATCATTATACCTTTGAGTTAAACCTGAAATTCCTCTCCCAACTAAATCCAAAACGTAATCGGATTCGATTTACTCTACTAGCAGCGCAACAGCAGCTGCAATTTCTACAAATTTTTGCCTTTAATAAAAAAATCAAATCTCTAAAAATGAATCCAAAACCGATGAAGTTAAAGAAAAGTGCATCGAATGATTCATTTTTGTCAACAAACCGCAAGACAAAGCAGCTCTCGGTGACCTTGGGCGATGTGCTTAAAGAGGCAGAAGGAGCATCCGCAGAAGCTATCACCCAAAAGGAGTTGGCTTCCGTTCAAGAGGAGGCACAAGACCCCTACCAGAAAGGGGATGCCGAGGAGCAGCTTAACAAGTTTTGGATTGCCATCAGTGGTTACCAGCTGGATCGAGCCTTTTCGGTCTATCGCTTCTTCAATGACATTGGCACGATCAAGTCCAAGGGCTTCACCCAAACGAATGTCATGTATCTGAAGTACCGCACCACTGTGGACTGTCAGATTGCCTTGAGCTACGACGGTCAAAAGATTGGCTATGGCGGGGACATACGCGTCAGTGTTAAGCCTGAAAATCCCATGGCCTTGCTGGCATTTCTGGATGCCATAGAGAAGATGGATGCGGATACTGTTGATAGTGGACCACTGGCCGATGCTGTGACGCCAAAGGACTTTAAGGCTTCCTGTGTTATAGAAATTGAGTCGCCAAGACAGAAGGAGGAGCAGGAGCAGGCTATCAAGAAAACGGTAAAGCAGCAGCAAGTCCCCGAAAAGAAGGAGGAGCAACTGCAGGAGCAACCAGAGGAGGTAAAGGTTGAGCCTCCAGTAAATGTGTATCCGCCCAAGAAGGCTGGCTTAATTCAATGGCTGAAAGAAAAGATATCCTCCCTCTTTTTCCTCTATTAAACTTGAATAATTTTTGTTGGCTTAATTTCTGATGTTTAAAAATGTTAAAAATGATAAATATCTCCATGCATATATGTACTATGTACATATGTAAATCGTTTGACTAATTATGCGAATACTTTTGTCCAACGACTAATCAATAGGGGAGTTACAAATCATCCAATAACAATACTCCCACAAATAGAAAATAGCTGATAAAATTATATTCAAACAGAAAATATAACAGAAATTCATTAATAGAATTTTTAATTACAATAAATCAATTTAAATAAAATGTAATTTTTCAATTTTATCAAATTGTCATTATGCGCAATTAATTCCTATGCACAAATGCATTTTAGGGTGGCGCCACCACCACACCAATGCACTGTGTTGCAGTGCACCCGAAAATTGCGACTCTTCCACACCGCTCCGCCATTTTGTTGCCGCTGCTTAATTATTATATTTGTAATTTATTTTCCCCACACAGTAATATCCGAGTATAGGAGTATAGGATATGTGGCTGCTATGGGGTGTGGTGGATAGTGGCCACGTTGCACTGTGCTTTAATGCCACATTAATCCCGTGACGCAAGCACAATAACGCACTCGAAAAAGTGCGGGAAATGACAGTAACACAGCAAACAAAACGGCACAACAAAAGCAATTCAAATGCACGCATAGAATGCATAATTAATTTTTATTTTGATGACAACGTCAACGCACACCAGACAACAAACCAGCCTCAACCTCTTGCCTCATGCCTCTTCATCTTCATGTGGCAGGAACACTAGTCCTATGTCCATTGCAATTATTTTGGATTGGATAAATGTATAAAAATATCATTTATACATACATACATGTGTACAAAAAAACATGTATAGAAATCAATGTACATACACACATGCCATTAGGTTGTAGCTGAAATTAAGCGACACTTTCGAATCGAATGGGCAGTATAAGAGTTCAACAGTGGGAATTTGTTGGTGGATTTTGTTAAAAAAATGTAGATAAGTTTAACATATACATCATTTAAAATAAATATATTCCAGAAATATTATAAATTTTGAAATAGGTTAGATTTCCATGGATGTTCCATAATATTTTCTAGAAGCCGCAGATACGCTTCAATTTTAATTTTCATAAAAATAATTAATTTAAAAAGAAATTACAACATTTTTAGAGTATTTCTAAATAAGTTATTTTGAGAAGTGGATAAAAATATGTTTTTGAAATTTCATCCTGTATAAAAATCACTTTAGGATACATACAGAGGATACTTTTTGAAAAAAGGACACACAACCCTTTAGTAGTATTTTATTGATCTCTAATCCTGTCCGTTGTACACCCCCACTAGGGCTCTCTTTTTTTTTTAGACTCCATTATGCTACTCATTTAGTATAAAATGGTGGCATGTTGACGGTCATCTACGGCCGTATGGCCACACTGGAAATGGGGGAGACTAAAAGCACAAACTGCGTTCACCCACACTTCAGACCGCAAAAGCGGAGAGGGAGTTGGGAGGAACAACAATAAGGCAGAAAGGACCAGCACACATTTCAGGTTAAACACAAATTAACCTCATTTGACAAAACAAAGCGAAATAACGCCGCTAAAATGGATAATTTGTTAAATAAATTGCTCAATTTTTATACGAATATTAGAGGGGTGGAGTAGGCAAAGGTTTGGGATGGTCGGGAAACCATTCAAATATTTGTTGGCTGCTTATTTGCATATACGAGAGCGATAAATACAAATAAAACTAAAAATTCTTTTGTTAAGGCCTTGCATAATCTTTTTTCTCTTTGTTTAATCCGTTTTTATTTGTATTGTTTTTGTTTAATTTGTATGCCCTTTTAGGCGGCTGTCACCAATTATCCAACATACATTGAAATAACTCCACCCGCACCACACGACAGACTGCACCGCATCGTTGATGGTTTCCGACTGCAAATCCTCTAAAATTATTACATTCGTTAAATTTTAAACAAAGGTGATTAGATTTTATAATTTAAATGGACAATAGGGAGACGCACTTACATGGCGCCCATATACATAACGGTACAGTTATTCTCTCGCTCGTTATTTATTTAGAATAAACAACAACACAAATTACGTTTTTTCCTGTATTTATTTCCTGTTCTTTTTTCCCGCTTCCCTTTTTTGCATTTACTTTAATCGTTATGTGGGATCAACTTAATTTATTTATTATTATTTTCCAATCATTTTTGGGGGATTTTTAATTGGGTTTTTGGTATTATTGCCATACGTTTTTAGGGACCAATGTAATTTTTTGTAGTCAACTTTTGTTGTTGGCTATTATTAATAAAACAGCAGAATGCTTTTGAAATAATTGAAATAATTTATTGGAAACAAACAAAATATTGGAGAAATCAAATTCCTTTTATAGTTCTCTAAAGCATCAAAGTATATTAAGTAGCCCATTCCAATACATCTTTGAGGATATTCGGGCTAATGAAATCACTAAGGATTCACAACATTTCAAAGCAGCAAGCCTGTATCTTTCAACTTCATCTTTAAGAAATTTCCCAAATGTCCTCCAGTATAGTAGGCCTAGTTTATAGAGTTCCATTTTAAAGTTGTATTCTAAATTTGTTTGACAAATACAGTTCTCAATCAAAAATGAACAAGTTATCAAACAACAATTAAAATGTTGCCCGACCGCTTTAAGAAATTCACTCGTCGCCTAGTTTGGCTGTTTATAGCTTGTTGTTTTATTTGCTACTTTAATTTGGAATATCTCACGGATTTCTTTGGCAAAGAATCACAAGTTATAGTCAATAGGTTTGTAATAAACACTCCCGGCTGTCGAGTGCGTTTCCTGAGAAATCCAAAAAAACCGGTGCCGTTTGTGGAGCCTATACACGTGCTGCAGTGCAACAGACCTCAGTTGATCGCACCGCGTCATAAAGATGGCAATAATTACTTTGTGGCCAGCAACGTGGAGGAAAATTTGCAGTGCAAAAGTTGGCTAATGGAGCGCCAGGATCATCGCTCAAATAAATACATACTGGAGCGGGAATTCAATCTCAGTCGCCATGGAAACGAACCCATTCAAGTCGATTCCGGCCATCAAATGTTTCGCATACAGTGCCGTAATGATGAGAATGACATTAAATACAATGATGTCATATTCTTTATGCCACCGCCGTGTGAAGGTCAAAAGAAAACTCCGTCATACGAGCAGCGACCCGAACGCTTATCTGTCATGATATTGGGCATCGATTCAATGTCTCAAATGCATTTCCAGCGGAGTTTCCCACAACTGACGAGCTTCCTGGACTATGTGCCGCATACGTTTTTTCTCGGTTACAGTCGCGTGGGGATGGATGCGTATGATAATTTGCTTCCTCTGTTGAGTGGCCTGCGCCCCGATGAGCTGGAGAGACGTTGTCTTTCGGTGAATAAATCGACCTACGATAATTGCGGTCTACTTTGGGATACATTCAAGACTGCTGGCTATTCCACGAGCTATGGCGAGGATACTGCGCAAGGGATATTCATGGATGGCAAAGCGGGTTTTCAAAAACAACCTACGGACTTTTATCTGCATCCTGTCATGCTCGAAATGGACAAACACACGCGCTACAGCCTCGATGCGAACGAGCTAATCAACTGCTCGGGTGGGCGACAGTTTTTCGATGTTTTGAACTATTTCATCGATAAATTATCGTTTTATATGAAAAGTGCACCATTTTTTTCAGTTTTTTGGCATTCGCAAGGTGTAAAGGACTACTATCATTATGCCAGGCGTCTAGATGTGGACTACGTGAAGCGTTTGAAGCGTCTCCTGGAGATGGATATACTAGACAATACGCTGGTCCTACTGATGTCTGACTATGGTCTGCGTTCTGATAAATATCGATTGACGTACAATGGCATGCGAGAGGAGTCGCAGCCGTTTCTGCTGGCCATTTATCCCGATTGGCTGCAGGCCAAATATGTTTTTGCCATGGACAACCTTAAGCGGAATGCGCATAATCTAGTGACGCCTTTTGATTTGCACGCCACGCTTAATGATGTGATGGATTTGAATCTGCTGAAGGACTACCATGTGGAGAATCGAACAGAAATACTTCTTGGTTATCCCCCCAAAAAGATGCCCCGTGGCGTGAGTCTCTTTCTGCCGCTTCCCGTGAAACGAAACTGCGATTCGGCTGGCATACCATCGCACTATTGCCCCTGCAACGACCTCACGGAAATCCCCACCGATGATGGCGTTGTGTTGCGTACTGCTCGCTTTTTGATTTCTTCCATCAATGGACTTATCGCGCCCTACGACAAGTGCCAAAAGTTGCGGCTCTACAAGGTGATGCTTGCATATTTCGTGGATCTTGGCGAGAGTTCCTTCGTCTATGAGCTGCGGCTGCGAGTGCGCACCATCCCAGGGGATGGACTCTTCGAGGGCACGGCACGTCTCACGGATACGTTCCATTTGACAGGTCCCATCACCCGTGTGAATGAGTATCGCAGTCAGTCCTACTGCGTCAACGAGACGAGCAGCAAAATGTATTGCTATTGTCTAAATTAACTATCCTTTTGGAGTCAATAAATAATCTACTGTAGATTGTAGCTTTAGCTGTGTAGATCTTTATGTATGTACATATGTAGATCGTAGCTTTGGTTTGACACAATGCCAGCAATTACAATAAAAAATTGTACACATTTCATGGCGTTTTCGTATGCAACATAAATGATCACCATAACGATAAAGAGAGCCGCAAGAGCCAGCAGAAACATGTTTATGTTAGATGGAAAAGTGTAGACCAGTTCGTGACACGAAGAGTTACACTATCAGTTATATTTTTAATTTATTGTAAAATGCTTTCAAAGGGAAACATCATTCAATAAATTGCAGTGAATATTGCATTCACTTTAAGAAGGAAATGGATGAGCTTCTGTTTCGAAGCAGTCGAACTTACAAATTAAATTTGTCATGTTTTAATGATTCAATGATTCACACTAGCAGTGTATGATTCACATGTATTCTCCCAATTCTAGCCCACAAATTTCACGAATTTGACGAACTGGTAAAACGTCAAATGGTTTTTGACACTCTCCTCCGCCTCTTAACCATCCGTCCGTTGCACCGCGGGTGTTTTGGCCTTTTTATATCCGGTACTCGAAGAGTAAATAGGGTATCCAGGTATACTCTTTGAGTACCGGGTTTAACAATATTAAATTGTATTCAAAGTATACTGCATCCACAATTTTGAAGATAAAAGAAAACTAAAAATGCAATTCCGTAGGGAAAGACCATATCTATCAGATTACCGAAATGAATTCTGTTGGATCATTATTATAGCCAGAATGAAGAAATTAATATGCAGTGGCAGCCCCTACCCATTCCAATAACTTTGCTTATAGTTTCTTTCTCATTCTGCCTCCTGCATTGTGCGGCTCTGGGGGATGGTGACGAGCTTATATGTAGAAAAAATGTAAAATGTAAAATTCGAAAAATCAGAAGATCACAGTCACTAAGGTTACACTCATGTGAATGTACATGCAATTGTATACTGTTTGAGTACCGGGTATACATTTTCTGAAGATTGCGAAGCGTCTCACGAACGCTCCTACTCGTTAGATCTGAATCTGTTAATTTTGGAATTTCTGATCTATAAATATTTATGTTTGTTTTGTTTCGTTGGGGGTTTTTTCTTGCACAATTTACTATCAAAAGTTGCTTAATGTTTTGTTGGATTTCCAATGGCACTGCCATAATATTATGCTGCTGCCTTGCCGACATTGCTGAATGAAAATTAAATAAAAGCGAGTGGAAAATCTTTTTTCATTAATCAAATGATTAAGCCTTAAACTCAGTCTACGGGTCCTATTGGGATCCTCTGGCCATGGCCATCGCCCGCAGCGGATAATTTACGTCAAAATGTCAGTTTATTTGAAGAGTCCAATGGCCACAGGAGAGACAGAGAGAGATTTAGAGAGGATTGGTGAGGTGAGGCGCCACAGAGAGAGTTGCAGGTGAGCGACATGCAATTGAATTAAAATTAAAATAAATGCCACAAAGGAACAACCAACACCAAAATACGTAATAATTTGCAATTTATTTAACAGCGGACACAATTCAGCACCAACGGGGATTGTGGATGGCGTTGGTACCATCTGATCCTTTCATCAAAAAATTATAAATTAAAAAAATAATAAATTAAAACCATTTGCATTGCTGCGTGGACGAAACTCCCTTTCAATTAACGCAAAAATGGCCTAAAGTGGACAGCATTTTCTCACCGAAAATCGTCCTACTCGTCGTTGATACGAATAAATTGAAATGCTCCTCGTGATGCATGCCACTGAAAAAGTGCGTGACTGTTTCAAAAAATTAAGCCATGGTGGCGGAGGCGGCAATTGACAAGTGCATGTGAATTTAACCAAAAATAGCTCTGGAGAAAAAATCGTAAATTAATGGAAAACTGTGCAGAGTTTTCCTTGAACATATGGCTATTCATTTCTGGTAGAATCAAATAAAAATACATCCAAATACATCTCTATCTAAAACAATATTTTTTCTATGCTTATCACGTGCTATACATCGATAAGATTTTTCCCTGCTATTGGGGCGTATAAATCTCAAAATGTTCAAACAGGTAATCACTCAAATTGCTCTGATTTCCTATCGGAATTGGTAACGCCTCATAAATAAGTCAAAAAGTTGGATTTGGAGGTGTGAATCTTATCGCTAATTAATGTGTCCGTCCGCAGGGCCGGGGGCACAGACAGATGACATACATATCAAAAGGGTTATATTTCTTGGTGGGAAAACCCACACTAAATTAAAGATTACATGGCAAAGTCCATTATTGGCTAGTAAATTAAAGAACTTTTTTATTTAATCAACTTTCTGCATAGTTAAAACTTCTGCTCCATTCATTCACTTAATGTATCTGTTGCCCACATCTTTCCTGCTGATATATCCACACAGTCATTCCAGTCAATCAAATGCTCATCTATTAAATGACAAATGATTTTTAAAATCACTTCAACCTCGTCAAAGCTCTATCTACGGAGCCTTGCAGGGTGGCAGAAAAAATATTCATAGAACACGGAGAAAAGCGGAAACAGACACTTTAAAAGCTTGCGATATTGTCAATCAAAATTCAATCGAAGCCATGAATCATGACACCCAGAGGGAGAGACGAGAGCTCCTTCCACTCCTCCTCTAGTTATGGTTGATGATGGGGCTTCAAGAGAGAGCTTCAACTCTCTCTCTCTCTGAATCACTCAATTGATGGATAGATGGTTGGATGATTGCAGAAAGAGTCCTGCAAAAAAAAACTCCATGAAAAGGGAATCACTCAACGTAAGGATGCGTGTTGAATGATGGTAATGCTGTTGATGCCACTGCTGCTGTTTCTACTCGTGCTGGAATATGTGACATTGAGGAAAGGAGAGGACCGACAGAAAGCATTTAACATTGGCATCCTGCCACACACAAGGAAGGAAAGGAACCTCCTCCTATTGCGAACGAAACCTAGTGGTTGGAATGGCATTGTATGGAATGTGTGGTGGCATGAGTGTGTGTCATCAGTCAAAGTCAGTGTGGGATAGTTTTGACATTTTTATGAGCAAATGATAAGTCCCTCCACACGTTTTATGCCTGCCTGTCGTCCAATGTTTGACACTTGCCAGCCTCACACAAAAAAATCACATCTCAATATATTCGACAACTTATAAGAAATTCTGTTCGAGTGATATATTTATAGCCCTCTTACTTATCGCCCACGGTGCGGTGAATAAGTATTTTGAAATTTAAAGAGTGACACGATTAAGCAGTCTTCAAACCGCGGGCCCATCGGTCGGGCAATCAATCAAAGCGAAATTGCACACTGTATTATCAGTCGTATCATTCACGTGTTTAATGACTGACTTTTTGACGTTGGATCCCCCCATAAAAATGATAGCGAGAGTGGCTACAGGAATTTGTCAATGTCTAACGCGTCACAACTTTTATACCCGCTACTCAGTCAAAGTACCTGTACCATATTGTATTTTTTTCGAATTTTACATTTGACATTTTACATTTTTTCTACACCTGTCTTCTACATCTACATCTACAGCTCGCCACCCTCCCCTAGAGCCACACACTGCAAATCCACGGCCGTGGCAGAGACGCGGCAAGTCAGAGGCCGCACACTGCAGAAGCAGAGTGTGAATGAGAGAATGTGAAAAAAACAACAAAAGCTGCCACTGTAGGTTTAGCCACCGCAAATTAATTTCTCCATTGTGGCTATAATAATGATCCACTCGGATCCCAATTTGGTGATCTGATAGATATGGTCATTCCCTACGGAATGGCGTTTTAGTTTTAGTTTTCTTCTATCTTCAAAATTGTAGGTTTGGGAGTCTATTGATGCTGATCAAGAATATATATACTTTATGGGGTCGGAAACGTTTCCTTCTGTGAGTCACATACAACCGTTATTCGCACAAATACAATATACCCTATTACTCTTCGAGTACCAGGTATAAAAAGGGCTCGATATGGGATTGGAGTAGGAGGAAATGTTGTCAAAATATCAATGGAAAGCATTTGTTTTAAAATTCAAGTGATTTATGAACGAGTATTGCCGCAGCATGACTCGTGAAATGTCTGAAGGAGCCGTTGGTAGATATTTTGAGATATGTTGCAGTTGAATAAGTCTGTATAACTATTTTATCCATTAAAGATACTAAGATTTAGGGTTAGATCACCCAAGATTATGTACGAGAGGGTTTTAAACACTTAAAAAATACCAGAGCATATTTAAAAAAAATACCAGTAAGTTTCTATCTACCTATCCTCTGATATTCTATAATCCTAACACGTGAACACACTATTTCAAAGCAATTTCCATTTATCCACCTTCAAAATCCATACCGACCGATCGACCAAGCGAGACAGCGACCGGCAATGCCAATGCTCTGGGTCATAAATTTCTACACCAAAATTGATTTCCTGATATCATCTATATAATAATAAAATATTTAAAAACAACACTGAAATCCGTTCTGGGGGTTCGACCATTAATAATTGCGAATGCAATTGTCAAAAATTGTTCGCATGCGTTTTGCGGAAATTTGTGGACAATCCAGTGCACATTGTCTTCCTACTAATATTGACTTCCGTTTCCGCCGCAAAAAGTGCGGACCCCACAGTGTGTTTCCGATTCTGCTCTTCTTTCGAAACCTTTTTTTACACAGCCAAAAATTGTCATCGTGTGTTGCCCTATTACAACCGTGAGAGAAAAACAAAATCTATTTTCCAATGAAATGCCCCTCAGTAGATACAGAAAAAATGCACAGAAATATTTACAAATCAGAAAAATAAATCAATAAATTCGGGTATGAGGCGATGATATTTGACATTTATTAATTAAAAATGTGTGAAAATTTATATTAATTTTATTCAACAACAAAAGAGGAAGCTAATTTCAATTTATTTTATTTGTCATCTGTATGTTTTATGATCCACCCGAAAGCTCCGAGGGATCGAGAAAAAAGAATTGAAATTCTAAAAACATAAATGCCATAAATATTGAAAGATGTGGATGGACGATGGCAGGGAGGAATTCAATGCAATTGCTAGATAAGCACGCAAATAAATACCGATGTGGGATGCTGCACAATGTGCGAAATTGAAAAATATACGAGTATTCATTGAGGTATTTTTTCTTCTATAATTGTTCTTCTTAGATTTTAAATTTAAATTTAATATTTTTGTTCTTAAGCGCATTTGAAAATCTCTTTTTAAACAGAAAAGCCACATAAAATACCAGCATAATATACTCCAGCAGGATAGCGCTAACGTACAACATATAAGCAAGGGTATGCATCGAATCGAATGTGTCATGTAGAACACTTTGACATCCTTTGGTTACTAGACGCGGATTATAGCATGATTGGGGCAGCCTGAGCAGGTAATGCATATACCAACGTGGTCCATCAAGGCCACAACAGTGAAGCTACAGTGAAAAATTAGCAGTAGATCTCACAAGTAATGCCATTTTTTCACCTTTAATTCAAGGTGTGTCCAGTAGGTGTCATTTGTATTGATATATTTCACCCATTTCTCAGCCAGATCTTCCATTTCAACCTTGAACCAGAGTTTTCTCAGTCGACCTTTAAATGTGTAGTGTGTCCAATACATGGCCAACGCTGATAGCGGTATATACTGCTCGCCATTAAGAGCGGAAAACAACCTTTAATCTCATTCCAACCTACCCAAAAAGCAATCCAATCAGACGTAAAATCTAACAGCCAAAAACTAGCTAAAAATAGTATAATGATAATCACATTGAGGCTCGCTATGTCCAAATAAAAATCGATTGCAGTTGTGGCATAGTTCTGTATGTAGATTATCCCATCCAATCGGAGGATCCGCGGAACAGATATACGAAATGTCATTGCCAGAAGCAACTGAAAAGTTGAAACTCCTCTAAGGCTTTGTTTTGTGATTATATTTCCATGAAAAACTCACCGCAAAGTATCCTATGAGTACATTCATAACCGACCTGAAATACATTCTTGGAATTGATTTATTTTCAAAATATTTTAAAGAATGACAGAAAAGTTAAAGAAAGCTCAAAAATTATAGACAAACTACTGGGAGGTGAATTTGATTAAATTTTTGTTATATTTAACGAGTTCCAAAGCGAATCCTTCGAAGAATTCAAAGATTCATGACCGAGGTGCGCTGTTGCATGGCTCGTTGGCTCTTTAATGAGCGTTGAAAAACTTTCTCAAGCTTTTATGTTATTTAGTATTAAGTTTATACCCATTAAAAAATGTATAAGTCTACTAAATCATTCGTTGACAATCGTTGGCCTTTTCCCGAACCATCGATGATTTGTTCTCTCATTTGTATCGAGTCTACCGATATTCTATTTATACATTACATAATGTGTATTTGTCTTCAATTGTTCATACAAATATCAGGCCTGGCCTCGTGTTTTTGTTTTTGTTTTGCCATTCCTATGTCTCTTTTTTTGTATGTGTGCAAATTTTCATTGTTGATTTATGGGATTTGCTAGATTTTGACAGTCGTTGTTGCAACACACGAAATACAGTTGGGTGTTGCAGCAGCCGGTGCAGGAGCAGGATGATATGTATTTGTATAAACAGGATTTTATAATCGGCTTTCTATATTAATTTTAATTTTATTTTCGGCATTTTATTATAATTACTCCTAATATATGTAAATGGCAGAGTCGCTAGCAGAATTTTGGTTTCGTATTGTTTGCCACTGGCACTGCCGCTGCTGCTGCTGCTGCACTTGATGTCCCATGGTCCATGGGAGTCCCTCAAACTTGTTTAGGGGGGGAGATAAAAGGGAAATATATATCTTTTGTGGTTTTTAATGTTTTAAGTTGTCGTTGTAAATTACATGCGCTGTTTGTTGTTTCACAATCGCATGCTCTTTGTTCCCGTTTCCATGCATTGGGGTTATATTTTGCCAAAATATTTATAATATTTTAATGCTAATTTTTCGTACAAATCCACAAATGCAGTTAACACCCACCCCTTCCTTTTTGTATCTGTTTGTGATATTTAAATTTGAATGTCACATTTGATCATAAATTTAGCGATTAACAAATAATATCTACCACCCTAAAATCCCACTGAAAAAGCTAAGCTCTATTGAAAGGTATTTCTAAAGTTATATTTAATTGCTTTAGATAGAGCCCCTATAATTATGGTTGCTATTTTTAATAGACCAAGCTATATTATGTTTTATATTCTCATAATCTTTTGGATCAGCTTTGGTCATAAATTTCGAGCTTTCGACTTTGGCAATAATAAATAAATTAAAAAACAAAAATTAAATTATAAAAAAAAAATCCTTCTAAGCAGTGATCACAGTGATTTGTTTTTGCATTCTTTTTTACATGATTTGTGGCCAAAACTATTTTGCTAGTATGTTTATTTTACATTTACATTTTATTGAATCAAAGTAGACTTTTTCCCTCACTCAACCAGTCAATATTCCCCTTGCCTTCTCTATTTCAAAACCATGTCTGACCGTATAAATTATTTTGCCCAATCAATTGATTCCGAATCCCTCAAATCAGAGAATCCCGATCCAGATAGTCTTATCAAAATTACCCATGATATGGTCTTTAACCTAAAGAGCGATGGGGATGTGGAAAGCGGAGCTCAATCCCACGAAATGGATGAAGATTCGTTCCAGGAGACCTCCAGATGGACCAAACGCTCGACGGTAATCGAAAAACAAAAGCTACAGAAGGAGGAGCAAGAAAAGTTGGGACACTCTCCGCATTTGATGATAATCTTTGCAGATGGAGACATGAATAGTGCCTTGCATTTTCTAATCGAATCGATGAAGCATCCATTGGAATCGAGTTCCGTGGCCACGGCCTTTGTGGAGCAGAGTATTCGTGCGGATATCTTGGAGCGTATTCGACCAGAGTTGCATCCCCTAAAGAAACAGGCAAACACTAAAGTTCGTCCTAGTTATTTGAACACGCTGAAGGTGATCAATGAGATACAGGTAGAGGTCGTCTCCAAAATGGATTTCACTGCTCCCTCGAGGGCTTCCCCCATTTTGATTACCGACTGTGCGGCCGATGAGCACGGCGTGTATTCCGATGGCGTCATAATGATGCATACCTTTAAAAAGAGCATGGAAATAATAAATATATGCGACAGGGATACCAAACCATTTGGCGCTGTTTCTATATGGAACGAGGGCATGGATCTATGCTTCGATATTGTGGTTGCCATCAATTCCTCCCATTTCTTTATCAATTGCACAAATGTGGACTTGTCGCCGATTGACAAGTACTTCAAGGCCGAAGATAACTTTACCTTGATTGAGAAGGGTTTCCACTACGAAGCCATTAGTATCTATGGAAAAACAAAGACGATTGTCTTTCCTTTGGTCTATCATATAGCACCTAAATCAGAGGCTAATATCGAAGAGGAACCGTCCTCCAACTCCTTTTTGGAGAGCTAAAAAGCTTCCTCATTCTAAATCGGTTTTTGCTTGCCCAAAATATGCATTGCAATAAAAATTTCGAGTTATTTTGAGTTTTATTTTTATGTTAATGGAATATCATCGGCACCTGTCATCGGTAATAATCATATTTCTCGAGTTTCAATTTGTTTTTGGGTCAGCTTAATGAATCCGTACAGCGTGTTGTATAAAAACCTGTTGCACTCAACAACAAAAATCCAATGGAATGCATGACTAATGCTGCAGCACGCGATAAATGTTGATAGGTTTGATGATGCCTGCTTTTGGGCAGTGCTGCACCTTAATGCTATAGGGTATTGTTTATGAGATGTATGGTACTGAAAAAAGAAATGAATTAGACTTTTATAAACTGTTTCTGTACTTTGGACAACAACCTTGTGTGTGGAACTGTTCTATTTTGACTTTTTTTACCCTTTCGCAGTTTAAAAAGGATTTAGATTACTCATTTGAGTATGACTGTAGAGATACTACAGAAAACTTTTAGCTACAATCCAATATTTTAAAGCCTTCGTTTTATCCTTTCATAATATGTGAAAACAATTAGCTGATCATCAAATCTTCGTAAAATATGTACATTTAAAGTTCATCAATCCTGACACCCCCCTTCAACTCCAGAGATACGCAGGACAATGCAAGATGCATGAAGGAATTATTTATGATCGCACAACCTTTAAGAGTCACCACCGTGAGTCGGACGCGATTTGTGGTGCTGTCTGGACCATAAAACCATCACTTTATGGCCAAATGAGTGTGAGTGACGCTGTCGTCTCATTGCCGGCTGGCGGCTGGCAATTAAGGTCCGAAACAGAATCCAAAAATAAAAAAGGCTCATCAATGTGATTATCAGTTTCAGCTGGAATTTATGTCGCAGCAATCTCGCTGCAAATGTCATCCAAATATGGGGGCTGCTGAAATCAGGTGCAGTCAGCAGCAGTCAGTCCTGTTCTCTAATTGCAAATGCCAAACCATTCTCTCGGGCTTCGGATCTCTGGCTGTGTGGAAATTCATTATAAAATGCGGTTTGAATTATTTGTCACAAAAAGCCTGTTCCTGTGTCCAGGGACGGAGTGTGACATTGATGATGACATTGACAGACAGACAGAACGTGTTTCGTTCGCTCTCATTCGTTGCGACAAATTAAATGAAATTGTTAAGGGCCGAGGAGTCATCATCATCATTTGCACATATGTACATCCGCAATGTCATTTCGTATTAAATTTATTATTATATTAGTATTGGTATCCCCTGTTTAACTTGCTTAGAATTGTAAAATATTCAGCGATCGTTTTGCTCCTGCATTGCAAAGGAATGCTCGTATGTTTTGTATGTAAATTCCAATTTTATTCAATGCCGAGTCACTCGTTTTGACAGAGTCTCGAGTTAACTGTCAGTTTCAATCGTGTCTGCAGAACTTGTCACTCATTCAATAGTTTTGAAAATTGCAAATGTCACTTACAACCAAACAACAAGAGTGCAGCAAGAGCTTCCCAGAGTTTTCCAGGCCTCCGAACTCACATCACATCTCATAGCATCTCTCGCACACACGTGTGAGTGTCTTCTCTGAGTCAGTGAGTGAGTAAGCAGCATCCCAACATACAAGGATGCGACATTCTGAGACAATGTTGCCTCCGGAGACGGAGACGACTGACTACTCGTAGCAGTAGCAGGGCCAGAACCCCGGACCAGGACGTAGGCGAAGACAAGGTCTCGGGTAGGAAGAATACCCGCCAAGAGGATGACGCTGCAAGAGCAGACGCTGTGAATTAAAACAAGAATGGAATTGTGGATGTTGGGCAAGCCGAAGACTTAGATTCACTAAAAAATTTAGCATTCATGGAGAGAATATTAAAAAACTTACAAGAAAAAACTCTCGAAAACAATGGAAAAAAAATTAGTTAACACAAAATAAAAAAGGTTAATTTCAGAAATATATTCTTTTAATAATAGAAAATACTATGGGAAATTAAAATATTTCACAAAATAATAGAGGACATTGAAAACATGAATACACTAGAAAAAATATTATATGAACATTCCAAAAATATCTAATGTATAGATGTAAAATTTTAGAAGATTTGAAATAATTACAAAAAGAAATGAAAAAGTACTATAACAATTTCTGAAAGAAGCAATGAAAATAAGCAGAGGGGTACTGCCACAGCAGCTCTATAGCCGAATCGAAGTTACCATAGTG